ATGACCACAGCCAGGAATGACCAATACCGGTTCCAACACCGGGAATGACCATGGCCAGGAATGACCGATACCGGATCCAACACCGGGAATGTCCACAGCCAGGAATGACCAATACCGGATCCAACACCGGGAATGACCACGGCCAGGAATGACCAATACCGGATCCAACACCGGGAATGACCACGGCCGGGAATGACCGATACCAGATCCAACACCAGGAATGATCGTGGTCAGGAGTGACCACTGTCAGACCCCCACCAGGAATGACCACAGCCAGGAGTGACCACTCCAGCACCAGCACCAGGAATGAGCATGGCCAGCAGTGACCGCTCCCGGACCAGCACTGCCCTGAAATCCTGCAGGAGCTCCTGCAGGAACACCAGAGCCAATTTCCAGTCTCGGCTCCTTCTTCTCATCCCTTTGGCAGAGTCCAGGATTCTTTTGAGGTCAATTCTTCCAAATTTCAGCATGCCATTCATTCTAATTGACCCATCGCTTCCACAAGGTCACATCACATTTTAGCATCATTGAAGCTACTCCTGTGTCAAGTCTGTTTTATTACAGGGCCTAAATAGTAAAAAAAATGCATCCAAAGGCCTGGTTTTAGTCTTTCTCTGCATTTTATCAGCTGGGTCTGTGCAAAACTGTATTTCCCCACACATTAACTATTTAAAGCATAGACAATTTCAGCTTGCAGAGGAAGGTCAGAATGCAAGTTTTCTCTTCTTTCCCAAATAACTGAATTATCTCAGAACATTGTTACATAATGTTACAGAATGCTCCAGTATTGCCTGTTTCAGATATGAATAATCCCTGTGCATTTAATAACTCCTCCACAATTAGTAAATTAAAATATTTTAAATTTGGCATCTGTTCAGAATACGTATTGCTTTAAAATATATTAATACATATCTGCGGGTCTAAAATATGTGAGTAGCATAATGAAATTAAATTATCTTTGTACAATATAAATCAGAATAGTGATGCAAATATTTGCATTTGCATAGTTATGCAAACTCTTAATCATGAAGAACAATCACTGCTGTTAAAAAGCATGAGGCCACTAGGAATGGCTCCTGAGGAGGTCAAATCATTCTTTCTTGATTTCCAAAATGACACATTTATCGCTTCTAAGTACTGAAATAATCATTTGAAAGTTCAGAGATAAAAATATCTTTTATTATTATATTCACATTCCACTCTATGTAGTCTGATTTTTAGATGTCAGCACAGAATGAGTCAGCTTTGTTATTAACAATTCAAATGCACAATATATATTCAGCAAATTGATCAAGGAATGTAAACAACTTCTAAAATTAATTTTAACCAAGCAATCTGCTGCTTAGAATTTATAACACAAAGGGAAACAGCTCAACAAGAACGAAGTTAACAATATTATTTAAGCAATTATAATGAACAAAAGTATTCTTAAGTCCTGTCACTTGCAAGAACAAATTAACTTCCTAAAATTTTACCTGCATGAAAACAGACACAGAGCAATCAATATGAAACTTTATAGAAGTAACAGATCTGTAATGGAGGGACAAAATCAGTAAGGAATCTAAATTAACTCAAGCCCTCTGACTTTTCAGGATTTGCTACAAAACTGAAGCAGGTTTCTGTTACCAAAGTGGTAATTCCTGTTCATGTGTTTGACTGAGATGACTGATGAAGGCCTTTGGTGTGGTCTCTATAAATGGGATTATTTACTGTAGGACTGCAATTATCCCCTGCTAATCCTCCCTTATCTGCTCACCGTGAGCAGGGAGATACTGGGGACACTGCGTGGCACAAAGCTCCTGGCACTGCTCTGGGTCACAGAACAGCTGCTGAATTAAACAAGTTACCCTAGAACAGGCATGCAGACATGTTACCAAGTACAGGATAAAGATGCTGTGCTAATAAACTGACTGGCAAAAACTTAAAGTTCCATTTTTTTTCATTTTTCAAAGTAAAAAAGGTTAGAAGTTACTGTGAGCCTGCAGCTCGGCTGGGGTGCACAGCACAGGAATTCTCTGTCCCTGACCACATCAGCAGAACCTGCAACTGCAGCCTGCCCAACCTGCAAACCCAAACCATTTAATACTGGTCAAATGTTAATCTTGAAATTGGGATGAGGGTTTGGCATTTCAATTAAATTCAGTTCTTAGATGGCCAAATATTATTAATATTTGTTAGTTAAGCTGGTACTTATTTATAATGAAATGTAACAAAAGAATAGCTGCATTAAAGATAAATATTTTAAAAGTATTTAAGTTTTTATGAGGCTTCCAAGTATTAATTATAAATGACAAAAAAAGTGTGAGCAGTGCATAAATGGCAACTGTGATCATTGTAATGAATCATAAAAATTAATAGTACTTACTGTAATGACTCTAGTAATTATTAAGAATTAAGCCAAATAGTTCTTATAACCTAAGGAAAGTTAAGAGAAATGTGTTTGACAGTTAATTTTTTTCTGATTTTTAAGTACTCTACAAACATGAACTTTCCTAAGTTGTGCTTTATTGAAGATCTAAATAAAATCCAAGTCGTGAGTGTAGCTTGGATGTGGTGCTAAATGGAGGATCACAAACTTCCATGGGAACACCTGCAAAGCTGGTTAAAGAAAACAGATCCCACCAGCATTCAAAAAAGAATCAGCTTAAGGTCACAGAAGGTTTTACATTGTCAGAAGGTGGGGTCCTTCACACTTCTCTGCCACCCTGCTCCTGCTTCATTCTTGTCATGCTGTTCTGTCTGCCCAGCTAACTGAGCTGAGAAAAACTCAGACAAAAAATCAGTTTCTAATTACCAGTAGTATGAGGCATAAAAATTTGTGCTTTTCCACCAAATTGCGTCATGCTTTCTATTGCATCATGAATTTGATTAGAAACTAAAGTGTTTGCAGAAAGGAGATTTAGTCTATGTACCTTGTCCTAAAAAATCATTGCCTTTCATCTGCTCACCTCAGCAAATTATAAACACTGAAATTCAGGCAGCTCTCAGTGATACTGAGGGATAAACTTGCCTCAGATCAGTCTGCAATTCTGTGAGTAAAGCTGGAAAAAACAAATGCAAGGGGAAACAAGACATCCATTCTTTAATAAATAACTCTGAAATTAGCTGATTTTTGCCACTCTGTTATTACCTGTATGTAATAAATCAGGTGAAAGTTGCCTGTAACTTTCACCCTTTGCTGTGGTATTTAGGTTACACAGTAGAAACTGCAGCAAGAAGAAACGTGAGCACAGAAGGGCTCCAACAGCTTCCAACCAGCATCTTTTCAACCTTTCCAATTGGAGGTAGTCCCACACTTTTAACTGCCCAGTTACAGCTACTGAGAACAAGGAAGACCAGTCTGTTTGTGCATTATTTGTCCATCATGTTGAGGATCCATTTAATGAGTTGTTTCTGTTCTGTGTTCTCTCGGCGTGGCTGTTTCTGTCCCATCTAAACCAGGAATGATCTCACTGGCACAATGTTCATTTTTCACAGTAGAGTCATCTGGGAATAATTTCAGGGTAACTTTGAAAAAAAAAATGTTAAATATTGGGAGGATTAACCAGAAAGACAAGTAAATATTTCAATAAATTGAACAAGTATGCAATTTAATTTAGTGGAGAAAATGCTGCCAATATGCAACTACAGCACATCTTTTATCTTGAACTTTACTTGGGGAAATTAATATATCTTCTGTTGAATATTACATTACAAGCCATGTTACTGAGTTTGGTATTCTCATCAGAGGAAAACTAAGCATTTTTCTACTGGAAATTTAATTATCATATGCATCCTTTTTCTTTTTTAATTATTAGCAACAGCAAATCACTGACAGCCCCCAGTCTCAAAAGTCATCATCTGCAAAGCCACACTGAGGATCCCACAGGCCTCTTCAAGTTGTGCAAGAAATGGACAGTGATGTATAAATACTTGCAAAAAAAGTTTTGGAACAACACAGAAATTTCTAGGTTTTGTGTGAGTCAATTAATAATTGAATATTTGAATGAACAACATCTGAAGATACATAAGCACAGCTCTAGAAAATCAAGCTTTCAGATGAAGGTATTTACAAGATACCAAAAAGAAATTGTTTGCATGTAGGAAAACATTAATAAGCAGCAAAATCTAATTACTGCAAGAACATAAACACTGCAGCTGTAACACTTCTGTCTAACCATACCATTACAGCCTCACCAGTGAAAACAGAAGTGTCAATGCTAATGTAAACTCAGCTGCTGATATATATTCATTAGATTCAGAAAAGCTCCAACATTTTTTCCTCTCACCACATCAAATTTTCTCAGTGCAGATACAATCTAATACAAAGTGTGAGGTTTAGGGACACCTAGGCCTAAGGTGTATCTCCATTCTTGTCTCTCACTCCACAAAAATAATCTGAAAGCATTGCTAAAAAAGGGATTTAGGAACTCGAGCAGGGAATAGCCCAGGTTGGTACCTGTGCAGAGACCCAACTCACATGACAAGAATTTCTGACACACAGTAAAGCCTATTCACAAGTATTCTTCCATTATTAGCTTCACTCTGAAACAGCAATTAAGCAGCAGGGAAGATTCAATGCCTTAGCCTTTTAGTCTTGATTCTAATTTACATGATTAAATTCTAACTTAGTCACTGATTACCTTCTGGTTTAGCATGCTTCGGGTTCTCAGGGATTTTATTTTTGCCTTTGCTTCCTTTTCTGGGTGTAGCAGTTTTTGCCCTCACCAATCCACAATTTTCAGCACGCTTACACATATTACTCTGTTAGCATAATGAAGAACAAATATATCAATCAAATATTAATCTATGTAAGCAATTTAACAGACACAAAGCAAATATGGCTCTGACAGACAAATTCTGGAACACTTAGTGGAAGACTGACTTAGTTAACAACTTCCATAAAACTCCTGAAGATTTTCCAGAATATATATTAAAATTCTGCTTTAAAAGAACAATGCCATTTGGTGGGTATAAAATAAAATTTATCATCTTCTGGTTCCTGGATAAGCAATAAAGTCTCACATGTAAAATCTGTACGTAGAAAAAGGGTCACATTTACTTTTAAGTGTGCACGGGTAACCCAAAAAGAGAATATTTTCTCATTTCATATGGTTTTGGAGCGAGCAATAATTTCTTACTTTCCTTGCTGAACAGGTCCTATTTATCCTGAAAGTACTCTTTAAAATAAATTTTTCACTTCAGACTGAATTTATTCTGCATCACTACTGAAAATCACATTTCAGGCTCAAATGCCACATTTTGTTCTTTATCACAACATCCCTGAAAGTGACTGCTCTTACTTCACACTTCCAAGCAGTCCATGTACAAAAGATTTATCAAGAAGATAGACTCATCTTTCCAGAGTATAAATTTCCATTTGTGAAAGATTTACCCTGGAAATAAGCACATCTGCGCTATTTTAGTTGGACTACAGTCACAAAAATTTTTATTTTCTTAATATAAATATAACCCCAAAGCCAACTGTGTCTCACAACATCACCACCAGAGCGAGCAGTGTTCTCCCAGGAACTGAAATACCTGGTTACACGTGCAGCTGCACTGAGCACACCTGAATCTTTCCTCACTCCTGTGACTCTTCCTGTGCTGAAGGAAAGCGTAGCGCTCGTGGAAAGCTGCCCCACAGTCCCTGCACTTCACTGCCTCTTCCATGTAGGAATGCAGATTCCTCAGGTGGACACCTGGACAGTTATTCAAAACAACTCATTTTAATGGCAAGGTTTTTATTTTCGGAGTTTTGAACAAGAGTCGGGCTGTGTGTTGTGGCAGCACATTTCTCACACTCTCAGGATTTTTCATAGAGGTGCACAGAGAGAAATGAAAGAGAAAAAAAATTCTATTTCTGCTCCTTGTTTTTTCCTATGTGGAATGTGTTTGGAGAATTGTTTCCCTGGGGTGACAGCTTGGTTGGATTCTGGTGAGGATTGTTTGAGCCTGATGGCCAATCCAACCCAACCCACCTTGGGCTGGGCTCTCAGAGAGGGTCACGAGTCGTGGGAGAGTTAGAGTCAGAGAAAGTAGTATGTAGTTTAGTATCTTCCTTTTATGTAGTATATTAATATATTTTATAGTTATAATACAGAAATCATTGAGCCTTCTGAATTGAGTCAGACATCGTCATTTCTTCCCACTGGGTTTGCCTGCATTTACAATAGTGTTTAGCCCTGAGTAATGTAGATCTTGCAGAGGAAAGCAAAAAATAACCTTCCATGCCCTCTGCAGTGTCTGATTTTAGTTGTCTAAAATAGAAAAATTAGTTTAAGATTAAACAAAAGCTGCAGCAAGATGCTGTATCTTCCCAAAGAAATCAAGCAGTTATAAGCCTGAATCTTACTGGCTTCAGTGGAAAGCGCTTAACAAATCAAATACTTAAAAAAAAATATCCAGTTTTAACAAAGAATTTTCATGTATTTCTGGAAACTTAAAATTCTATATAGGTTTTTTTTGTTACTGATCAGCTCTACTGCCACCAACACTTCTGATAAAAGAGAAGGTCACAGTGCCACAGGTATCAAGCAAATAATAAAAAAGAAAAAGCTAAATGTTTGCTAGTTTGCATTTTAAACAAATTAAAACATCAACCACAAGGTGTCACCACATCTCCTTGCAGGAGGAATTTACCTGTAAAACTACAAATGCATTTTACTTGAAATGTATTCTGTGATAATATGAAGTCAGCTACAACATATTTGGTGAAATTTTCTGAAAATTATAGATTTCACTACTACTTATCTTTACATTTTGTTTTCAGTGTTTTCCTTTAAACTCACCCAAATCACTTTTTCGGGAAAGTAAAGTACTACAATGTGGACATTGGTGTTTTGGCACATTTTCTCCATGCTTCTGTAACACATGGATTTTCATTGTACCACTTTGAGTGAATCTGGCTTGGCAAATGTAACATTCATAGCGTTTTTCACCTATTAAAAAGAAATTAAAACAACATATGCTTAGAAATTCTACTTATTTGACATAAATTCAAATTCATACGGGGTTCAACATCCATGTTCTAACAGCAACAGTCTCCAGATCAACCAAAAGTTAATATTGGTTGATGGTGCACAAAAGGCCAAACAAGTCTCCAGAATTTTACATAACTGATTGCAATACAAAATCTTGGCTTTCTGAGTCCACAAGTCAAACTGCTGAAGCATAAAGCCATCCATGTAATTCTAAACTAGGAATCAGGGATTATTTTAAATTATCATCTATTCTTCCTTGAACACTTCATGTACACAAATGCAGAATTATCTTCAAATTTGCAAGGAAAGAAAGTCAACAGCAGTAAAATATCATGATAAGAGTGACACACCATCAGCCATTGATATTGGTGGTAACAGAAATTAGGAAGTTATTTTCCTGCATTTTTCCCCAAAAAGTCACATCAGATGTGACTAGCATTAAAAATTGGAAACTGGTACAGCTTTGAACCAACTCCAGACTGGTTCTGTGAAAGAAGTCCCTGCCAGGAGTGGGTAACACTCTTGAATTCTTCCAGTTGGACTCTTGTGGTTGATTCTCATAAAAAATAATTCCGTTTAATTGCAGCAAACTGTCTCAAGATATGAACCAATGCATGACAAGTGGGGATATTTGGAAAATTTGATTCAAACCATGCTGTCACACTCTGATTTAACCTAAAATATTAATGAGAGCACAAATTACATATCATAATTAAGCCAAATAAAACCCTGAAGTACAGGATTGATACCCACTGCCTCTGAGATGACTTCCTTGTTACAGAGTTATGACAAGAACACACTGCTTTCAACATTAAAGCAATTTAATTCTTTGTTGACCAGATCAGTTGCTGGCAATCTGGAGTCACAACAATATCCATGTTCTGAACATATATTTTAAAATCTCTCATAGATACCTCTCCATGTAAAATCAACTAATTGAGAATTAAGTGACAACTTGACCCAAAGAAAATGAAATCTTTTTCTAATGTAAAAGAAATTTAGGAGGAACATCAAGACTAACTCATGTGATTCCAACAGCCAAATCTAGAACACTGAAAGAGAACACGTTTTTACTCCAAATCACCAATTAAAAAAGGGCTAATTTTGAGGCTGAAATGAGATTGCTCTAACCCTATGAATATTAAGGAGCTGAGGCCCTGGACCTGATCATTAGCCCAGAATCCTACCTGTGTGAGTTAACATGTGCCTTTTCAGCTTGTAGGCATCTTTGCTGGCATAGCTGCACAGGTGACAGGGGTAGGGCCGCTCTCCCGTGTGCGAGCGAACGTGGCGCCTCATCTTGCTGGCCTCAGACAAGAATGAGAGATTTTCTAAAGTAACATCTACATTAGCCATATATTTCATTAAAAGGTAAGCAATTTTACATACTGTGCCTACTGCAATTGAAAACATTGCATGAATCCCAGAATTAGCACTCTCACGTCCGTGTTTTTCCCTGCACTATCAGCCTGTTGTGGTTTTAGGACACTTCTGCACTCTTTTCCCATATTATCTTACTTTCATATTTAGTGTCCACATTAGCAAAACAGGAAATTTTATAATAGAAACAAAAAAGATAAAATTTTAAAAAGAGGATGCCTACTACTGTCAGGCTACTTGGATATACCAAACATAAAATTATTTGAAAATACTCAGGAAAAGAAATGGAAGACCAAACTCATTATTCAGAGTCTATTCACCTTCAAGTACCAATGAAGTACCTTAGTTACAAAGTTTAATTCAATTCTACTTTTTTAATGCTGTTTTTCAGATACATTCTACATAAATATTGTAGGTATGTGATTAGGAGTTATCAAGTGTTCAGTTCCTCCATTTATGGACGCAATTAATGAATTCACTGCTAGATTCCTTTAAATCTACACTACTATTCACTTATATAAAATTAAATATGACTGCCAACCTTTGATACAAAAAAGTCAAGTAATTTGCATGGCAGCACTGGAGAGCTCTTTCAGCTGTCTTCATTCAGGTAAAACTTACAGAACTGTGAGTTCTGTAAGAGCAGTGAATGCTGAATAGCTCCTTATTGAAACAAGGGAAAGAATAAGGTAATTTACTATCAGCTGTCAGGCTTTTTAAAGATGCAAGCTATCAAAAATCTAATTATTAAGATAAGGTGCATGGAATAAAGTTCAGGATTGCTTACAGCTTTAGATCTGGACACAGCACAAATTCAGATACTGAACACCCACTAAACTGTGACAGTGATTCAATCACAGGTGAATTTATGAAAGCCTGTGCACCCAATTCAATTGCAATTTCCAAGTGCACCCTTAAGCAGGCTCTAAGATATTTTATTCTTGATGAAGAAAATTCTAGCCCTGGAAAAACCCATACATCATCAAGTATATAAACACAATTCATGAACTTCTTTTTAGGCATTAGCTAGTATTGTCCTACAGGACATGGAACTTAGTGTAAATGGGGACCAAAATTGCTTTTGTGGGACCAAAATCACACAAACACATTGTCCAGCAGCAATTTTAGAATAACAAAAGAGGAAAAATCTCTTCTAATGCAACTAGTTAAAAAAACCCTTAAATAATTGTATGAATATTAATTTGGAACATTTGCAAATACTACATGGACAAAGTAAGGGTTCCAGGAATTCAGGTTACTTGTTCCTTTTTTGTAGGATGATGGGGTTGAAAAGATGTGCACACAAATTAAATGTAATGCAATGTAATATAATGTAATGAAATTAAATTAAATTAAATTAAATTAAATGTAATGTAATGAAATAAATGCATGGCACCACACAGTTGTAGCCATCAGCCACCTAGCAGTAATGCTGCAGCACCATAACAGATAAACACAATCCATCAGGGTGTCCAAGGCCATCAGCAGAGCCTGGACTTCTCATGGTTAAAAATCTGGGCAAAAAATTGTATGTACATCAAAATCTTGGCACATGAAAACCTTCACACCCTCCCAAAAGTTTCAGTAAGGCTGTACTTACTTCTACACTAGAGTATTCACATATTGTGCACTTGAAAGGCTTCTCCAAAGTGTGTTTGTACCTCCTGTGTCTTGAAAGCTCCCCTCGGGTCACAAAGGCTGCGTCACACTCACTGCATTTATGGGGCTTGTTCCCTGCAACAATACACATGAGACTTTTATTCAACACTACAGCAATGTGATTTGCCTGCCTTACATCAACATGCAGAATTTTTTAATAGAACATTTTCTGATATTCTGATTTTTTACATACAAAAAATCATAGAATGATTTGGGTTGGAAGGGGCCTTAAAGCTCATTTTTTTCCACCCCCTGCCATGGGCAGGTACACCTTCCTCTATGCCAGGTTGCTTCAAGCCCTGGCCAGCATGGCCCTGGACTCTTCCAAGAATGGGGCAACCACAGATTCTCTGGGCAACTTGTGCCAGTGCCTCACCACCCTCCCAGTAAAGAATTTCTTCCATATATATGTACACAGTAAATTTATTATAAACACAATTTATCACTTTGCTTCATATGTTTATATAGCAAATGAAAACATCACAGAAAATTCTATTCTGCATGTAGTACTGAAGCACAGCTGACAAGAATTGTAAGAATGGTACTTAACAAAATAAACAAATACACACACAGAGTTCCTAACTACAGACCATGTCTTTTCAGTGTGGAACACCACAGAAAATCAGAGGAAATTCTGAGCATAAAATGATCAAAGAACACAGCTCTAAGGCAAAGCCACTTGCCTCCTAATTCAGTTTTGAAGACAGTAAGTAGCACAAAGTATTTTCAAGCCTCAGGTACCTGTATGTGCATTCACATGGTTATGCAGCAGAGCTGCTCTTTGGAAGGCCTTCGGGCAGAGGTGACACACGTGACGTTTCTCATCCGAATGGGTTCTCAAATGACACCTTGATAGCTTGGCTGAGGTATGTGCAGAAAATGTGCAGAAAAAACAGTTGAAACAAAGATACATTTACACTGTACGTGCCACAAAACAATGACTTTACTTTTTCAAAAAATGGTAATGATTTCCAAAGAGTCCCTTTAGCCTGGGTAAAACTATTTCAAAATTCTGCATCAAAGGATTCATTAAGACTTAAGTGATTTGCCCCCAAAATTGTATTAATTGTTAGTGATACAGTTTAGAATCTAATCCCAGGAAAACTAACTCCTACCCTTGCCCTCACCACCATGACAGGATGAGATTTCCTCTCTCAGTACCATCTTTAAGACTTACAACCTGTGCAACAAATTTCTTGATAACAACTGTATAATTAGCACTAAGTAAGTTTATGCAAAGATTTGGAAATGGCAGGTTAAGCTATTCCCAGCTTTCTGGTGCTCCTGAATCTATAAAGTGCATATAAAAAAATCGTGATGGGAAAGCCTCTTTAAGATTACGGGTTGAATTTGAAAGGAAAAAATCAGTTCTTTGGAGAAATCATAGGATAAAGTTCGGGGCACAAGAGTAATGAATTTCTTTCGAGACTAACAAGTTAAGATTAAACGTGCAACACTTCCAGTTATGAAGAAGATTTGAAACTGTGAAATGGCAAATACGTCATATTTGAAGAGTCTTTCCAGAACAGTTGTCTCAGCTCCCAAGTGTGCTCTCTGTAATGATTTTCATGCTGAGACCAAAATGCATTTTATACAATGCTTTATACCACACAGAGATGTGCAGATAACACTTCACTTCAGTAAAAGCAAACAAAACCACTTTATTGTCATTTACTCATTACGGATTCATGCCCACACAAAGGAACATTGTTAGCTTTGTTAAAACTGCTCAAATGTTCTTCCTCTAAAAGCTGTAACTGAAACAGGGGACATTAGCAATTTGTACAGTATCCATAGAGAACCCCAGCCAAGATACCTTAACTTCCAGATACAACACACACATTTACAGACTCAACATCATTGATGTCATCCAATTTTTACAGTACACACACAGTTTCTAGGGAAACAGATGCTTATCTGTTCTCTTCTGAGTCAGTCCTTAACTTCTGTAACATACTTTCAGATTTCTAACATCTTAAATCAGCCATTTTCTGTTACTCTTATTTAGGCTCTGGGAAAGGCTTTGCTGACAGGTATTGATTGATTGGTAAGTGCCCACCACCCTCTGCTAGCAATGTGGAATCACTCTAAGCTCAACCATAAACCCTCAAACAAGCACATTTTGAAGCTGAATGAGTGGATCAAGACACTAAATAAATTACTAGGTTTATTCAAAGGCATTTATACAATATTAACTTTGAAATCTCCCTGGAGGTTTCAAATACCGCACGCTGTTCAAAAGACCATTAATTTCTAAATGCCATCCAAAATGTCTCTCCTGAACACAGGGCAGATGACATCAGCCTGAACAAGATCTTTGAGCACTTAGGGATGAAGGTATCTTCTTCAATTTTCCACAGAATGTTAAGACTTAACCTAATCTAAACAATTACCACTGTGAGTATTTAATGCAAAACTTCAACCTCAGTTCAATATCTTATTTAACATGGCTTATCTAAAACTTAACTACAAAGATTATTAACTTTTTACCTTTTTCCTGATTTGGAGCACAAGCCTCAAATTTTAGATTCCTGAGATTTATTACAACTGTTTGTTCTGATGCAGTTGGATATTCCTGCTCTTCACTTTCATTGAATAAGTCTGACAAATCATCACCCCCTTTGCAGCTCTGACTCTCTGTTTCCTCAACAGTGGAAAAAAATTCCTTTCCTTCCCCCTCTTCAGATGGGCTCAGTTGCTGGATGTTATTTTCAAATGCAATGGCATCATTATCTCTGTCAATCTATTTTAAAAAGGAATATGTTTTACAACTTTCTCAATTAAAGGCAATTGCTAGCGGCAAATCAACTGAGCAGTCAACAAAATGCAAGCCACCAATTCGTTCTGATTTTCAGTCTTACATGTGATGGACAAAATTTGCATTTAGCATACAGCAGCCTAACTGGCAAGTTACAATTAAGTAAGAATAATTACTAAAATTATGCTCTCCCTCTTCAAAATTTTATATAAAATTTCAGAGAATCATTTTAAGACTGCAGCACTAAGAACACAGAAACACATATCTTTATATTTGAAAAGATTTTAAATTTCATTTCAGTACTTAAAAGAAAATGAGGTGTATACCCCAGTTTTTAACAAATTTAGGACTTCTGCAGGCTAATTGTAATGCCTTCTTTGTCATATAGCAATTAACCAGGTTGTGATACTTCTTGCATTAGCTTGACTCAAATATGGCAATATGACCTACCTCAGAAATTATCTAGTGATGCATGAATTTTATAAGAAAAAAATGTAGCATTTAATTGTAAAACCAATATAATAGCTAGCACAGAACAAAAGAGAAGTGTTGCATGTCCTTTTTAATAAAATTAATTTCAAATTGGACTGTATTACATAACCAGCTTTAACAATGACTGAAGGATTGAACTTAATTGAATTAAGGAGAAAAAGGGAAATCCTGTAATGCCACTTAAGAGACGGAGGCTATCAAACAAATAGTGCCAATATGACGAATTAAATTAAAAACTTGTCTGAATTTCAACAGTTAAATATCATCTCAGTATCTTCTTGATAATCTGGGTCTTCCAATTTAGAATATTCTCTGAAATTAGAAAGTCTAAACTTCTAGTTTGTCCTTTTAAAAATGAGATTAAATTCTAAAAATATGTACAGGGGACTGGATACTTAATCACAAAAAATAATATTAATGCTTAAACCAGAACAAATCAGTGTGATAGTAGAAGCTACCAGGGAACAACATATCTCTAATTCCACCTTATCCAGAACTTGTACCTCCATCAGGAGCGTGTCTGGTGGTTTCTCTGTCGCCTGGCTTCCTGCACTCATTTCTTGTCCTTCTTTTTGCAATAGACAGATCTGCAGCAGCTCCCAGTCATGGAACGCCATGCATGTCATGGTACCGGGCTGAGCCCGGGCAGTGCCCCGGCCTGGGCAGGGCCCTGCAGGCTCCCTGCACACACAGGAACACGGATCAGGACCCTGCTGGCTCCTTGCACATACATGGACACGGATCAGGGCTCTGCGGGTTCCCTGCACATGCAGGGACATGGATCAGGGGTCTGCAGGTTCCTTTCACACACAGGGACATGGATCAGGGCTCCCTGCACACACAGGGACACGGATCAGGGCTCCCTGCACACACAGGGACACGGATCAGGGCTCCATGCACACACAGGGACATGGATCAGGGTTCTCTGCACACACAGGGACACGGATCAGGGTTCCCTGCACACACAGGGACATGGATCAGGGCTCTGCAGGTTCCTTTCACACACAGGGACATGGATCAGGGCTCCCTGCACACACACAGGGACACGGATCAGGGGTCTGCAGGTTCCCTGCACACACAGGGACACGGATCAGGGCTCCCTGCACACACAGGGACACGGATCAGGGTTCCCTGCACATGCAGGGACATGGATCAGGGGTCTGCAGGTTCCTTTTACACACAGGGACATGGATCAGGGCTCCCTGCACACACAGGGACCAGATCAGGGCTCCCTGCACATACAGGGACACGGATCAGGGTTCCCTGCACACACAGGGACATGGATCAGGGCTCTGCAGGCTCCTTTCACACACAGGGACACGGATCAGGGCTCCCTGCACACACAGGGACACGGATCAGGGCTCTGCAGGTTCCTTTTACACACAGGGACACAGATCAGGGTTCCCTGCACACACAGGGACACAGCTCAAGGCCCTGCAGGCTCCCTGCACACACACCCGGCTGTGGGCTCGGTGTTCTTCCCCTCCTGGGCACACAGGGCCACTCCTGCATGTCCGTCCACACTGCGCTCCCGGCCCGCTCGGGTCAGCCTGGCCTCGCCTCCCTTTCGTGCCTTGGCTCTCCTGCAGCCCTAAGGCTCCACAGGCTGTGGAGCCATGCTGTTTGAGGTTAAACGTGACCCTTTCGTGCCTTGGCTCTCCTGCAGCCCTAAGGCTCCACAGGCTGCGGAGCCATGCTGTTCGAGGTTAAATGTGACCCTTTCGTGCCTTGGCTCTCCTGCAGCCCTAAGGCTCCACAGGCTGCGGAGCCATGCTGTTTGAGGTTAAACGTGACCCTTTTGTGCCTTGGCTCTCCTGCAGCCCTAAGGCCCCACAGGCTGTGGAGCCATGCTGTTCGAGGTTAAATGTGACCCTTTCGTGCCTTGGTTCTCCTGCAGCCCTAAGGCCCCGCAGCCTGTGGAGCCATGCTGTTCGAGGTCAAACACGAGGGCACACCACAGGCATTCAGGAGCAGCCCCAGCCCTGCTCCTGGCCGGTCCCCCGGGCTGTTGGGCCAGGCCCGTGCTGCCCGCAAGGGGAGGTGGCAGGGAAGGGGCTCAGCGCCTGCCGTGCACCTCGGCACGGCCGTCCTCTGCCTCCCTGTGCTGCTGTGGGAGCCCACTCGTGGGTAGCAGCTTTTGGGGAACAGCTGCTTCTCACCTGTTAATTCCCTACAAAACACAAAGCCCCGAACCTGCGCAGGTTTCCCTCCAAATGCACCAGGCGCTCCTCGGTCTCCACGCATGGCAAGCCCTGTCAGAGCATCTGCCGTTTTCTCACCCCCTGAGCGAAGACGAAGATCTCTCGGCCTTAATTGTAGGCTCTTAACCTTCTGCTCCCACTTGGCTGGAGACCACGGGGCTGAGCTCAATTGGTTTCTCCACTTGGGAAATGTCTGAAGCACTCGCTGTGTGTCTGCGACGGAAAGCCTCCAGCCGGGAGCCCTGTGCTGGAGTGCCACTGAAGGGCCGCCTGATGCTGCCGCCACACAAGTGTTGTACAAAATTGGCTCAAGTGGCTTTGCAGAGGCAGTGGAGCGATGTATAAGCATCATTACACTGTACCTTAGGCCAGGATTGGTTATTCAGTGAGAACAAGCTGAAATACTTCTTTCTCCAAAGGCATTGTGAAAATGTCTTTGAGGTAAACTTGCACTGTTTGAGT